GGGGTGGCAATGTGGATTGCACTTAATGAAAATAATCACCGATCTGACTGCACGAAAAAAAACATTCACACTAATAACAATGAACTTATGTTAATTTCAATATTAATCAACTACTATGCGAAATCATAAAAAATGGTACTTTAATTAGTACGTAAAATGAATGAAACGGTGACTGGTTTGGTCAGCTTCCCTGAGACAACTGACCCGAAAGACAACCCTCGTGGTTGTAAATGATACTTAAAATAAATTCCCTGAGGAAAGTGATGATATGATGACCCAACCGTAGAAGGGACACATCATCCATCTCATACACAGAACGCAATTGGGTACCCATCTTCTTGGGGAATACCAGCGATAATCTCACGTATAGCGATAAGAAGGCGTGTGGCCCTGAGATCGCCTGGGCGATAGGTGTGCGACTCGAGACATGAGAACAACTTAACATTAATTACCTAAAGCTAATTACATGTCCATACCCAGCTGTGGGTCGTCACCAAGGACCATGTAATAATGATGTGAGGTTTGTGATTAAGATAAACGAAAATCACGAACAATATGAAATTGTAGTAGCTGTATAATATAATTAATCTCTAACACGGAAATCATTGAATAAGATAAATACAAATAGCTTGAGTGTATTTTTGGGTCAAGCAGAGTCAGATGGCTATAAGTACCTTCTAACTGAGTAAGGTCAAATGAGTTCGATATGCGGACATTCGTTAAAAATAGCAAGAGCTAGTATATGTAAAATTAAATATTGTGAAAAAACAAGTACACAATAATTTAGAAATTAAATAATCAAATTACCAATAAATGAACATGAATAATTAAAGAAAAAATATATCTATAAAGAAGACAAATAATTACGGCGAAACATACTTTGGAATATCCACAAATATACTATAATAATAACAACAAAATCATACGATTTAATTTAATGAATTATGCTAGTATTATTACAGTTCCCAATATATTCATGTAAACCGAAAGTAAATCACTCTATCGTAAATACGTTGATAACGGAATAATGTTAAAATCACATTATACACATATAAATAAGCTTAAATGTGAAAAGAAAAAATATCGAGGATAATACAGGTCATCATAAAAGTGAGGTATACACCGTTTAATGGGAACTGACCTGATTTCACCAGAACAACCATGTGTGAAGTCATTCGCACTATAAAACTAATATAACACTTTATGCATAAAATACTGAAGATATCCATATAAACATACGAAAAAAAAAAAAACATTCGAAACTTAATATCGGATAATAAACGTAAGAATCACAAAGACATATTATAATATTTTATCTTAAATAAGTATCAAGACAAAAAAATAAAACGCTAGTGAACTAAACAAAAATATTGAAAATAGGTAGAGAGGGAGGGGAGATTAACGGGTGGGGGTTAGGAGGAAGGGAGGGGGTTTAAGATAATGGGGGATGGGGGTAGGTGGGAAACGTTGGGGAAATGTTTGTTTGTGCATAATTCAACAAAATTATTTAAATATTCTAAAATATCCCAAAATCGCATAGTTAAACCGAGCCTAAACAAATGCATTTAGTAATGATATGCGAACTGAACGTCGATATTGCGTCGGTTAACGTAATGAGATATAATGAGAATAAGAAAAAAAAGTCAAGAATATGGTAATACTTAGTCACGTGACCTACGATGGCCGTAGAAATAGATAATAATTTAAAGAAAATGCACATTATATTCACCCACATGAATAAAATATTCAAGCCGAGTTAGATTTAAGCAATAAAACACGCCAAAGAAAGAAAATGCACTCTCGCAAGTGATGAAAATGGGGATTTATTCCTTAAAAAAAGCGACGATCTACCATGACGAGAAAAAAAGCATAGTAGATAACAGAAAGAAGGAAAGAAAATGCACTTTGCAGGAACACTTTAGATATTTGAAAAAAAAAAATCACTGCACTTGTAAAAAACGGTATGCACACATAGGCGAAGAAGGGGAAAGAAAGGATATTTGCCAATAGTGTACTTACAGTTTTTCGGAGGCTTGCCACCAGTTGTCAGGGTTTTTGTGTTGCGATGATTTGGTGGATTATGGAGACACAATTCTGGTTCAGCTGTTTATTGAAGGAGGGGTTGGTAGCGTGGCGCGGACTGTGTCTTGCTGGTGCAAAGGGCAAGAGAGCCCAAGAGGCGCGCCGAGCGGGGTGCGCGTGGGGAGCAACCCCAGAGGAGGTCTGGTCAGGGCCGTGCACCCTGGTCAAGTGTGCTGGGTCAACTGTCTTGTGGCTTCGAGCGCTGGTCGCGTGTCACTAGCAGTGGAGACTCGGGAAGGTAACCTTGTTCCTCAGACTCTCTCTGACTCTCTTCTCTCTCTCTCTCTCTCTCTCTCTCTCTCTCTCTCTCTCTCTCTCTCTCTCTCTCTCTCTCTCTCTCTCTCTCTCTCTCTCTCCTCTCCTGTTTCTGGATATCTAATTTACCCATTCTTCTGAAAAACTAATTAGTGAAGTGACAGCGAATATTGTGACAGTGTACCAGTGCCAATTTTAAGTTGCAGTGATTGACAATTGCAATAATTAAAGTACTGGAAACCCTTTGTTCAAAATTTTTCAAAGTTCGCGCATGCGCACAAGCGCTGTAGTACGATTATCAAACAAACAGAGAAACGATCAAGGAAAACGGCCCGAACGCAGTTTCAGCTGTTGGCGAGCTCTCTCTCGAGAATCCCAGCTGGGACTATCTATTTCAAAATTTTAACAAGACAGAACTGCAGAAACGATGCCGCACATTGGGTTTAACTAAAATTTGGACTACGAAAAGCAAACTCGTCGATATGATCATGGAAGCAACTCGCCAATCACCAGTTGATCAACTAGTTGCTGATGGAGATGATGAAGAAGATACGAGTGATGCACTTACAGAAGGAATCATGAAAAAGGACAAAGAAATTGAAGAGATACAAGAAGGTGCAGAGCGTCTCCTCTCCCACCGCCACCGGGCTGCTCCTCGGCTGCTCCTCGATGCCAAGGCATCGGACCTCGAGAGGAATTGCGCCATCCGGACCATCCACCGTTGACATCGCCAGGTGTTGGGTCAACGAAATGCTCGACTGGACTCCCACAACTGTGGATCCACGACCTCTTGGAGGACGTAAGCTCAGATGCAATATTATGATTTAGCTTCATTAATAGTGGATCTTAAAAAGAAGAATGATAATATACGAATATATGTGTGTGAGCTAGTACCTCCTATGAATTTAGATGTTTAGCTGATGGAGTTAGAGAATTCAGTGACAAACTAAAGGAATGGTCCTCTAATAATGGTATCTCCATAATACAAACTCATCTAAATTTCACACTTGGTACTGGAGAAGTGGACGAAATGTGTTTCCAATTAGATGTAGATAATGGAGATGTATTTCTTAATAGGAATGGTGTCTCAAGGTTATTATCATTTTTTGAAAAGCGATGTGAACATTTTAGTTTAACCTCAAACTACCAATACAAATAAATAATTTCTGAATGATGAGACTTCCCGAACACAAAGAGGTTATCATCATACTGGCAATAAATATAGAATCAATGTTCATGATGCTAGCAGGAATAATGCAATCAGAAACCATCGTTACACCAGCTATCGTCTTCCAATTAACGCTAGGAGTGTAACTATGAGGACGAACACGTATCTGCAAGAGAGGAACAGTGGACCTAATGGTTACTCGCGTCAGGGATGTTTCAACTGCGGAGAATTCAATCATAAGCAATCCCAGTGCAGATACGACCGTATAATTAAATGTACATCCTGTCACATGCATGGCCATGAAAGCAGACTTTGCCAATATTATAGAGAATAGGGATTTGGCCATGAAGGAAGTGCCGTTGATCGAACAAGGAAAAAGGATCTCATTGCTATCTCTCATATCAATGCGCAATCAGTCCTCTGCCATGAAGATCTAATCGAAATGTTGCTCAATGAAAAACGTATTGACATCTTATGTATCAGTGAAACGTGGCTCTTTCCTAGCATTAATGATTCTATAGTTCACATCCCTTCGTTTAGCATTTACCGCCAGGACCTGGGACGCGGGGGAGGAGTGTGCAGGACGATCTTAGGACAACCGTCATTAATACAGGCATTAAGCAAGTGGAAGGTGTGGAGGATATTTGGTTAACAGTACAACGTAGGAAGTTACCATCTATCATTGTTGGATGTGTCAATCGCCATCCACATTCTCAAATTACATCGTTTAGCTATATATCAGGATGTTTTCAGAATATTTGCCTCCGCAATAAGACAGTTGTAATAATGGGGGACTTCAATGACAATTTATTGAACTCAAAAAAAAATGAGTAGACTAAAACAAAATATAAATATAACTCAAATCATCAACAAGCCTACGAGGATTACATCAAACTCAGAAACACTATTAGATCTAATAATCAAAATATGCCTGAGTTAATATCAAATGCTGAGGTAATGCCAAGCCCGGTGAAAGATCACAAGGTAATATCTGCCTCTCTAAACTTGAGAAAACCAAAGCGTCAACCAGTTTATCAAACAGTTCGGTGCCTTAAGGAGTACAATCAAAATGATTTTTGCAACCTACTATTAGAACGTGTCCCTATTCTTAATAATATTTTATGGACTGATAATGTTAACTCACAGGTCACCATCTTCAATAATGTTTTTAATGAATGCATGAATGTATGTGCTCCTTTTATTACAAAGAAAATAACTCGACCTCCAGCTCCATGGATCACTAATGATGTTAAAGCTGCCATGGCAGTTAGAGATGTACTTAGAGAAAGGATTCATAATAATAGCACCGATATGGTCTTACGGGAAAACTATAGCATTGAAAAGAAACGTGTGAGAGTACTGATTGATACCAATAAAAAAACAGTACTACAAAAGAGAACTACAAAATAGCATAAGTAATAAGCAACATGGAACACCAGGAAAATGGTTCCAGATAGTAAGAGCATCTCAAGGAAAACAAATAATAATCTAAGAGATGGTGGAGAACTTCTATAACTTTTTTGCTAATGTTGGTAAGGAGGCTTATGAAAAATCCAGAGAAAATCTTCCTGTGCAAGAGAGTGAAGAGATTATTACTAATGCTAATGATGAAATTCAAAACGCTAACATTTTTAGACTAAATCCTGTTGACTGTAATACTGCCATTTTAACTATAGAATCACTAAAAGAAAGTAACTCTTATGACTCTGACGGAATTTCCTATCGGTTTATAAAAGATTCATTGCCAGTAATTGTCTTCTATATCAAGGTTATCCTAAATACCTCAATAGTCACAAACACTTTCCCTGACTCTTGGAAACTTTCTCATGTGATTCCCCTATATAAAGGTTGTGATAAAGATAATGTAAGTAATAATCAACCCATTTCCCTCTTGCCAATATTCTCCAAAGTATTAGAGAAAATTGTTGCCAATCAGTTAATGACTTTCTTGGAATCCCAAGATTGTTGTCTAGAGCCAGTATGGATTCCGTCAGAAGCTTTCGACTGACAATGCTCTTATGAAGGTTAGCGACAAAATATATGATAACATAGACAAGAAAAAGTTATCTCTCCTCATACTACTAGATTTATCAAAGGCATTTGATGGTGTGAACCACAAAATACTGATGAAAAAGATTAAGATATTGAATATTGATCCCCTTTAGTTCAGTGATTATCTAAAAATTAGATCATAATCAGTAAGAATTGGCAATGCTATTTCTAGTGAAAGAATGGTGCACTATGGTGTTCCTCAGGGTTCAATTTTAGGTCCAATAATGTTTTCCATATATGTTAATGACCTATCACAATGCTTATCTGATTATTTTGTTATTCAGTATGCTGACAATACTCAGTTGCTTCTTACTTAGTGTAGTTGAATTACACGTGGCTGGCTAGTGATACACTTTAGTGGCTGTTCTATTTATTTCTATTTATCTCCCCCCCTCTCTCTCTTTTCCCTCTCCCTCTCTCTCTCTCCCTCACTCTCTTTCCCCTCTCTCTCTCTTTCTCCGTTCTCTCTCTCCCCCCTCTCTCTCTCTCTCTCTCTCTCTCTTTCCCTCTCGCTCTCTCTCTCTCTCCTCTCTCTATCTCTCTCTCTCCGCATTCTCTCTCTCTTTCTCCGCACTCTCTCTATCTCTATCTCTCTCTCACACCCCCCACCCCTCTCTCTCTCTCTTTCTATAAGAGGTACTAACACCTCTACTTTATAGTGTAGTTGAATTACAGGTGGCGTCAGTGATACACTTAGTGGCTGTTCTCTTTATTACTAAGAGTTACACACACTATATCGACACAAGATACAGGGTATCTTGCGGTGCTATGCCGGGAAGGAGCGGGCAGTTCAGGGGCCGGGGGCCGGATTTACCAATGTCTTACGATATCGTAAATGGTTTGTTTATATCGTAAAACAAGATACTCTCTCGTTTCTCGCAGCGAGCGTATTTTCAAAACACTCCCGAGGTCGTAAACAAATCTCCGTACGAGAGACATTTACGGGAGCCCGAAACTATCGTGACGCTTATCGTAGCGACCCTCCTCAGCTCATATCAGCTTCATAAATACCTTCAGGAGTGTCTAAATGTCACTTTGCCATGTCGAAATCAATTAATGTGCAAGAGCAACATATTGAGGATGCATAGTAACGGAAAAGACTAATGTAAATAAGGATTGGCCTTTGCCAATGTATAGAGGTGCGGAAACACTTGATGTAAATCATTCAGCAAGTTTAATTTATCATGAATCAAAAGATCTCTAACACGTCTTCAAGTACAAAATCTGAATGAAAATGCACGATTCCATCAGTATGACATCAGTATGATAGAACATTATAAATATTCAATGACAAAGGTTATCAATATACAAACACACCCCTCTTGGCCTAGTGTAAAATTACTTTTAGTATTGGATCCACTTATTTATGAATAATGATTAAGATTAATGTTTTACTGGATTGTAAGAAATTTCTATCATAACACAAGTATAATGAAATGCTTGATTTTTTTTTTTGTTTTTAATATAGATGGAGAGACATAGATATGAATATGTGTGATCTCTTTCCCTCTACATATATATATGTATGTGTGTGTGTGTGTGTGTATAAATATATATATATATATATATATATATATATATATATATATATATATATATGAATAGATATATACATGTACTGCATATCTTTTGGTATGTGTATGTGTATATATATATAGGCCTACATATATGTGTGTACATATATACATACATACACACACACACACACACACACACACACACACACACACACACACACACACACACACACACACACACACATATATATATATATATATATATATATATATATATAGAGAGAGAGAGAGAGAGAGAGAGAGAGAGAGAGAGAGAGAGAGAGAGAGATGGATATAGCCATAGCTATATATATATCGGTATCAGAATTTATAAGACTATTTATAAAGGTGGTAATGATCAATAAAAGGTGGTGATGATTTACCAGGTGGTGATATAGAAACTGTTTTAAGTAAAATTCATTAGTGTTGCCTCAGTTCAGCGGATAACGCTCTGTGATTGATCTTTTTTTTCCGAGCTAACGCTGATAGGTCGATCGAGCCGTTCTTTTAAAGCCTTTAATAAACGAGAACTCGTAACTGTTTTTACTTCGCCAAACAACGAGAGCGCAGGGGTCTCGTAACCGTAACGACCGAATTTTCTATCGCTTGGTGTCGTAGGGCTTTATTTCCTAAAAGAACGGCTCGATCGACCAATCAGCGTTAGCTCGGAAAAATCGACCAATCACAGAACGTTATCTGAACTTGAGTTTTACTTAAAACAGTTTCTATATCACACAGGTTAACGAGATTTCTCAACTAGCGACTTTACGACCTATTTTCAAACGCCAAACAACGAGAGCGCAGGGGTATCGTAACCGTAAAGACCGAATTTTCTATCGCTAGGTGTCGTAGGGCTTTATTTCCTAAAAGAACGGCTCGATCGACCAATCAGCGTAAGCTCGGAAAAAATCGACCAATCACAGAACGTTATCCGCTGAACTGAAGCAACACTAATGAGTCTTACTTAAAACAGTTTCTATATCACCACCTGGTAAATCATTACCTTTTATTGATCATTACCACCTTTATAAATAGTCTTATAACTTCTGATACCTATATATATATATATATATATATATATATATATATATATATATATATATATATATATATATATAGCTAAGGCTATACCCATCTCTCTCTCTCTCTCTCTCTCTCTCTCTCTCTCTCTCCTCTCTATATATATAATATATATATATATATATATATATATATATAGATAGATAGATAGATAGATAGATAGATAGATATAGATATAGATATAGATGTGTGTGTGTGTTTGTTTGTTTGTTGTGTGTGGTGTGTGTGTGTGTGTGTGTAGGCCTATATATATATATATACACAAGCCAAAAGATATGCAGTACATGCAGTACATATACATACATATACATGTATATATTTTTGTATATACAGAATTGTATGTATATATGCATATATGTATATGTATATATATATATATATATATATATATATATATATATATATATATATATATATATATATATATGTAGACACATATATGTAGAGGGAAAGAGATCACACATATATATTCATATCTATGTCTCTCAAAAAAAAAATCAAGCATTTCGTTATATTTTCATAAGATATTATGATAAAAATTTTTTACAATCCAGTAAAACATTCATCTTAATCATTATTCATAAAGAAATGGATCCAATGCTAAATGTAATTTTACATTAGGCTATTAAAAGGTGTGTTTCTATATTGGTAACATTTGTTATCAAATATTTATTATGTTTTGTTGCTATAGAGGAAAATAGTCATGATGATGGAATTCTGCATTTTCATGCAGATTTCTTACTTGAGGATGTGTTAGAGATCCTTTAATTCATAATAAATCAAACTTGCTGAGTGATTTACATCAAGTGTTTCCGCACCTCTATGCATTGGCAAAGGCCAATCCTTATTTACATTAGTCATATTGTTTTTTTTACGCTACTATGCATCCCCAGTAGGTTGCTCTTGCACATTTATTGATTTCCACATGGCAAAGTGACCTTTACACACTCCTGAAGGTATTTATGAAGCTGATATGAGCTGAGGAGGGTCGCTACGATAAGCGTCACGTGAGGTTTCGGGCTCCCGTAAATGTCTCTCATAGGAGATGTGTTTACGACCTCGGGAGTGTTTCGAAAAATACGCTCGTTGCGAGAAATGAGAGAGTAACTTGTTTTACGATATAAACAAAACCATTTACGATATCGTAAGACATTAGTAAATCCGGCCCCAGGTCAGAAGCCACACCCTGTTAGGACGGGTGACCGTCAGAGAGTGAGGATGAGTCCAGTTGGATCGTTCTAAGGTCGGGTCTCTTCTGCCCTGGTTTGACCCAGCGCGGCGGACGGCGTGGTGTATATTTAGAATAAACATCCGGTACCAACAACAGGCATGGGTGAAGCGAGGGGGCAGCGAGCGTGGCATGGCATGCCCACGTGGTATAGACGCACGTGGGAAGTATGCTATGCTATGCGGTATCTGCCAACCAACCAATCATCCAACTGCTTTTATTGAGGTGTCATTCGGCAGTTGGATGATTGGTTGGTTTATTTTTGGAGGGTTATCCTTTATGGTTTGTGGCTGAAATATGTTGCTTGACCACTTGTTTGGCAACCTCACTATAGGTACGATTTTCTTGCTCTTTTTGTTTTTCTGCTTTTTGGTCTTCTGTCTCCTCAATTATCCTTTTCATTTCGGGACAACGATTAGCAAGGGTTCGGTGGGCCCCACTGCATTGGAGACATTTGTTTGTTTCGCTGGCACATTCTGTATAGACATGCCCCTTGTCTCCACCCTCTGAGCAGAAATTCTCTTCTTTGTTGGGGTATTTGTTATTAACGTGGTCATATGCATAACAGTAAATCTTTCATGCTCAATATGCCTGGATGTGATGGCGAATGCAAACATTCGGAGGCCCTTTTCTTTGATGTTGTTTGCCATGCTGTTATTAAAGCGCATTTTGAGCATGTTGCATTTCTTTAAAATGTAGACATCGTCTACAATAACATAACGGCAAGTTCTTTGAATCTCACTCGATATTTCGTTGGGCTCGCGGTCTATGATGCTCTGGTCAATATATTTCATGACCAGGGTGTGTTTTGCTCTCCTGTCTGGTGACAGTATAGGGTAGCATGACTTCTGCTGAAGTTTGGTTTTTGTTTCTTTCTCGAGGAATCGACTGACGTCATTTTCGTTTTCCACTTCGGCAACATATCCATCTTGGGTGGTATGTAGTCTGAGCAGGGTTATGCCTTGCTCGTTTATTATGAGCGAGAGTTCTGCCCGAAGGGGTTCAGACAGACTCCCATAGATCTTAAGGCGAACTCTTGGCATTGTGGCTACATGGATGGATTAAATGCACCTTGAATAAATGTTTACTTTACGACACACCAATCCTACCAAGGTCCATTCCTGGGAACCATGCACCGCTGCCGCTGTTAGCACTGTTGGTATTATAACTCTAACCCCCCCCCTCTAATGCAGGGAAATCTCCACTGCATTCATCAGAACAAAAACGGCTCTTGGATAACATACAATAC